ACAAGTGAACGGCTAACTTCTCCACCACACAGCATCTTTAGAAGCAAACATAAACAACAACCATATGGAAAATGGGGGGAGTTATATTATGAATTATTTTCTGTACATGCTGAGCATGTATGAGCAGTATGTTCAATCGTACCACATATACTGCACTGTGACGCTGCTCATTTTCATGATTGAGAGTCAGAAATCTCAAAAACTGACCCTCTTTCTCCTTCATTGGCACTTCATACACAATCTATTTCTTTTTTAACTCTAAAAACATCTTTCTGAGTGATATATGTATGACTTTTTTCTCACTTTCTCTTTTGCTTGTCATTTGCAGCTTCTAGATTCTTGTTTTCCTTTGTCAAATTAGAAGCATTATGCATTGTCATTTGATATCTATTAAATAGTTGATTCAGAGCTTCATTGATTGGACTATGTGAACTCTGTATACAGTGCTTGAGATATTTTTTGACTTTCTCATTCCACAGCTTCAGTTGTCATACATTATAAGATTTTACTATGATTCATAATGCTTGAGAATTATGAGAAATCTCTAAGGGTGTTGAGGTGTATATTTGAGTATTGAGATTAGTAAGAGCTAATTCTGAATTACATCTAGCTCTGAAGCTTTAAAATTACTCTTAATGATGTTTTTATTTAGGGCTTTCATATAAGCTACTTGAGTATAGAGTAAACTCTTTTATCAATATGATTAATGCTAAGCTGTAGTTTTATTTAATCTTTTATTTATTATTTGTAACCGGGCCCTAGTGGTGGGGCCCTAGTGGTTGATTATGAAATCAACCACTAGGGCCCGGTTACATCATCTTAGAGTAGAGAAATAACTAGCGTAATTCCACACTGAGTCGGCCAGCAAATTCACTGTATCCCAACTAGGTAGTTTTTAATTCAAATTATCTCAACGCAACAAAGCTCAATTAAATTAAATTAAATTACACTTGGTTGAGGACATCTTAGTCTTGTATGCCCAAGCATTTCACAATTGCTGCATCTTCATGGCACTCATACACATGCTGTGGGCTCAGCAGCTAAAGGCTTGAAGAGTTGAAAAACTGACTGTTCAATAGGCTCTGCAGGCTCTATAGGGTCTACTAGAAGACTTTGAACTTCTTCACTAGTTAAATCTCCTACTTCCTGCCCAATTCAGCGCCTAGATCTCTTGCGCTTTTGCTTCTCTATCTCATTGGTGTTGAATATATTCTGGTATTGCTTCTTTATAATTGTGGCACTGACTATCCCATATTCACAGGCTTTGATAATTTGATCAAAATCTTCCACAAAGCCTTGAGGCTGACCCTCCACTAAGTTCTTGATCTTATTCACCTGCTAGTGTAATTGCTGGAGATTACTAGGTGTTTGAAGCACCCAGGACATGGTTAAATTATTAGAGCTGCTGCATAGAGGGATAGGAGTCTGTACTTAAATATCCAGCTGCTGGAGGATATTATCAGACTGAAAGAGCACTATTCTAGTTGCCTTGAAGCCATTTTAAATAGTTTGAGGTTTGAAGGCTGCAGTGCATGCTGCAGGGTAGGCATTTAGAAAATCTACCTTTCAAATAACATTAAATCTAAACTGCATTTACTGCTGAACTAGATCTCTGTACACTCACTTTAAAACTGAAAAAACACTCACATCTAGTGATTGCAGAAGGTGAGAGGAATGAGGCAGCATGAAAAGGTATATTATAGCATTATTCTTACAGATTTGATCAAATTCTGAGCTAAGATGACTGCTATGCCTGTCCAGGATAAGAAGAATAGATCTGCCAACTCTGTGAGGATCTGCTGCTGGAATAAACACCTGTTGAAGCCATCTCAGGCCTATTTCATTAGTAGTCTAGTCATTTGGACTGGCATCTAGCCTTCAGCCTTCTGGAAGGCTTTCAAACCAACATTCCAACAAGCTTTGGCTTTTGAGAATGAGATAAAAAGGTAGAGCCCATCCTGACACATTGACTGATTCAATTATAGTTACCTATTCATAGTTTTCAGGCTGTAGGACCTTTGCTCTGCCATAGTGCTCACTACTAGTAATGACTTTAATAGTGGTACAGAACCCCATAGCAAAGCCAGTCTCATCAAAGTTGTATATATCCTCTAGTACAATCTCATGCTCAGTAATTATATCTTCTAAGGTCTTAAACCAATCCTTTATAACTTGCTGATCTTCACACTTGGTCTAATCATGATTATAGTGTTTGGAATAATGGCTTTGAAGCTTCATACAATATTTAATCAGCCTTGAAATCTAGTTCTTGCTGACTTTATGGGAGGAGGTAGTAGAGACAGTGAAATTCTGTAAGATAAGAATATAATTAGTAATATCTTCAACAAATGCCAGCTGAGAGGAGAATTCTCATTTGACTTGATTCAGTACTCATTCAACTAGACTATCCTCTTCAGCAGCAGATAATTTGTGAGAGTTTGCATGTAAATTCATCCATGAGGGCTGATGCTTGAGATGATCTTGAAGAGTAGATCTAAACATATTAAATAGCTTTGCAGCTTCCTGAATTGAGAGCTTTTCATCATTTTAAATAGATTTTATTGTAAGTTCAATTCTCCCCTCTTGCTTAACTGAATTTGAAGAGTTTTTCTTACATTTTAATAATATAATTATATATTGAATTGAATGAGCAGTTAAATTAATAGGTAGAGAAATTTGATAGCTGATTCAGTATGGAATTATGTTAACTACAGTAGTTAACTAACGTAATTCCACACTGAGTGAGACACCCAAGTGAGTGAGACACTAAAACTACTGTATCCTAACTAATTAGATTTTAACTTGAAATATCTATACCTACCCCTCCTCTAATTAAATTAAATTAAATTATATTAAATTGAGGGTATTTTGTTCTCTTATAACCAGGTAAATTGCAGTTGCTGCAATGCTGTAATGCTCCTGAGCATGATGTAAGCTCAGAGACTGCAGGCTCAGAAGGTTGAATGATAGACTGTTCAACAAATACAGCAGATAAAATAATAAGATTCTGAGCTTCTTGCCTATTGAGACCTCCTGCATGTTGAATTTGATATCTAGATCTAGTCTGCTTTTGCTTCTCTATCTCATTCATATTAAATATATCTTAGTATTATTTTTTTAGAATAGTGGCATTAACTATTTTATATTTGCAGGCCTTAATAATTTGATTAAAGTCTTTCACAAAGCTTTGAGGCTAACTTTCTATTAAGTATTTAATCTTATTTGCCTGCTGGTATAATTGCTAAGGATTACTAGATGTTTGAAGTACCCAGGACATGGTTGAATTGCTAGAGCTGCTGTATGAAGGGGGTAGAGATCTAGAGTTGAATATCCAGCTGCTGGAAAATGTAGTCAGGTTGAAAGAACACTATTCCAGTAGCTTTGAAGTCATTTTGAATAGTTTGCAGTTTGAAGGCTTCAGTGCATGCTGCAAGATAAGTCTTTAAGAAATCTGTTTTCCAAATAGTATTAAATTTTAGCCATATTTGCTGTTGAACTAAACCTTAATATGCTCACTTTAAGACTGCAAAAATGCTCATATCTAGTAGCTGTAAGAGATGTGATGAATGAGGTGGCATGCAAAGATATATAATAGTATTATCTTTGTAGATTTAATTGAATTCTGAAGTAAGATGACTGCCGTGCTCATTCAGAATAAGAAGACTATAGATGCTAATCCTGCATAGATTTGCAGTAGAAATAAATAGCTTAGTAAGCCATTTGACTCTTATCTCATCTGTAGTTTAAACATTAGGGCTAACATCAAGTCTCCAGTCATCTGGAAGCCCATCAAACCAGCCTTCCTATAGGATCTGTCCTTTGAGAATGATGTATGAAGATAGAGCTCATCCTGATACATTGACTGCCTTAATTATAGTCACATATTCATAATTCTCAGATTGTAGGAGCTTTGCCTGGCCATAGCACGCAGCATTAATGATGACTTTAGTAGTGACACAGAGCACTATGGCAAAGTCAGTCTCATCAAAGTTGTATATTATAAGGGGTTGAACCTCTAGATTTACTCTGGCTGGCTGACTCAGCCTAGTCATCATTTGCATGTGCGTATATGATCATGCTACGTGAGCTTGCTTAAGCTCAAGTTCTCATCTCATTCTTTTCTTCCCTTTCTGAAGCAATTCGTCCTTGTTATATAAGAGGACTAGCCTCTAGTTCTTAGAGCTTAACCTTTTACATTACAAATTGCTTCACTCCTTTCATTAATAGGCCACTGGGAGCCTTAATCCTGTATCATGAAGCTCAGCAAATGTGCTGACATATGATAGACTATTGAGAGCCTTAAATCCTGCATCATGAAGTTCAGTGATAGCATTGATATATGAATAGACTGGGTTAGCAATCATGCTAACAAATGAACAAGCAACATTGAAAATATCTAGCTGAATGAGATAAAGTAACAGACTTGTACAACAAATACACAAATGAATTAACATGAAGCAATGAGCAGAGACGCCCTCAGCAGCTTCAAACAATAATGAATGGCCTTTCTCCAACAGCAGGAACAGGTCCAGTGTGAGAACAGAGATTTAATAGCAGCTCAGCAAGTTGAAATAGCTAATCTACAACAAGCTTTAAACACCTCAACATCAACCCTCTCTCAATTGAACTCATGACCACTCATTGCAGTCAGAAGATCAAAGATCAAGCTACCAGACTGTGAAAAGTATGATGATTCTAATCTGAAGCACTACTCTCAGTGAGAGCTAAAGCTTCAATCAAAACTTAAGATCAATGGAAAAGCTTTAGATAATAATGAGGAATGTGCTTGATATGTGT